ATTACCCAACTTAAGTAATGATTGAGCATCTTTCACATGCGTATTTGGAGTCATTTCTTATCAAGTCCTTTGTTCATTTTTATTGACTTTTGTTGTTGAGTCACATGGCTTTCTTAGATTGTTTTTGTTAATTCCTATTATATGCATGAGTTACAGGAATGTTCTCCATTCTCTGTATTTCTTTTTTATTCCATTAGTGTTTTCTTTGATGTTTAGTGACTAATTTTAAAGCAGATAGTGAGCACCTTTTTTTTTAATATATAGAGAAAAGGGCCAAAGCATTTTATTTCTACTTTTCTTCAGATTGATGGATATCCTTTGTGATGAATGAATCCTTACAAAATTGGCCTTAGATATGACACAAAATGTCACACTTCTATACAGAGTCCACAAAAATAGCTTTTTGTGATCATCTTGCAACACTTATTTTCCTCTTGATGACTATTTTTTTCCTTTCTCTTTTGTTTGAGTATGATGTTGGAAATGCCAGAGGAAGGTAGTGTTCAGATGAAGTGCTGAGAATGTTGGAAACTCCTGGCTGAAACCTTCAGCTATTCTGCAGTCTTTTCCTTGGTCATATCTGGAGTCTTAATATCTTGCCTTTTCTATTTCTTTGTGCATCATCTATCCTTTAGGCTATAGACACAGATTAGGCTAACAATTCCATTTCACTCCGTTGTTATTTTAGTGTTTATTTCTTTGAAGGAATGTGGGGATTGATATGAGATTGATCATTCAGTAGTAAGATCAAAGGAGTCAGGAATAAAGGTTAGAACTGAAAAGAATGTAGGACTCAGTATAGGGTCTAGTTCTAGGGTAATCTGGATTCTTAAATCTGTGAGACTTTCTGAAAAGCTTTGTGGAACCAGCTATGGGAGCAACAGATTGGGTACACCCTTATTTGTGCTGAGAGAGGGTTGCCTCATATAGGATGTGTTTCGTGAGTGCTAAGCTATTTCTTTTAGTGCCAGAAAAGCCTCAGGTTTGGAAGTTGGAGATATTCTGAGTCCCTGAGGTTGTGGTCCATTACTTCTGAATTTGTAGCCCAGGTTACTGATGAGATGAAGCCCAGAGAATCTGTAGCAGTGTTGTATGTATACACTGTGCTTGCAGTTTGTATTGCTGCAGCACTTGAGTCCTAATGTGCATCAGTAGTAGGTTCCAGTGACTGTGCATCTGAGCACTGCTAGGTCTCACACTTCCATAGTAGACAGTGATGTAGGTTTCTGTCATAAGAGGAAGGCAGCTGGGATATTTTGTTTTGTTGCAATTCAAGGTCTTTCATATACACTATCTTGTTCAGTTTTGCTGTCACTCCTAGGTATTGTTAGTTTTTGATAGATGAGACTATTACAGAGAAGCAAAACAAATCACCTTGGTTATAGAATCAGTAAATTTAAAGTTTTGGACTTAAAGACTTTTTATTCCACAAAACTTAAAAACAAAAACAAAAACAAAAAAGCCCAAACCCTGTATCACTGAGCCTTTGTGCAGTAGCTTTAAAAAGTCTCTGGCTTCTAAGTGTTAAGCTCCTTCTTTTAGTTTCTAAGGTCCATGTGTGTATACTCGAAACCACTAGAGGTCAGTGTTGTGTTGATAAACACAGGTGTCTGAGTTTTTGAGTCTGGTGTTTTGAACTCTGAATCTTACTGATAGATGTCCTGGGAGCTGGGACTAGCGTTTCACAATAAGCGTTTACTTGATGGGGTGTATAGGATGCTTCAAAGGTATTCTGACAGTTGATAGTGTTAATAGTGACATCTTAGGTTCACAGTTCATATTAGGTTATGCTTGTGGCTATATGAACAACCCCTACCTCTTTCTAGTAGGTTGTACTTTAGTTTTAGAGGCCAGATCACATTCTCACACAGTTTACTCTATGTGTGTTAGGTGTCTGGACTGGGGTTTCCTACTGTGGCAATTCTTGTTATGAAACTAAGCATTTCTTATTTTCAAGTTGAGAAGCATTGATTCGTATTTTCATTCAAGGCTTACAGACCTCATCTTAGTGATTCTTTATTCAGCCTATAATTTTCATGATCTCTATTCTTGAGGTAGCTTCACTGTTTAGCCATTAAGGCCAGGATACTTTGGAGTTATCCTTATATAATCTTTTACTCTCTGTCATGTTCAGCATGGACATCAATTGTTTCCTGTGTGTACTGCTGCCATACCTAGTTCTCATCATTGTTATTTGGGTTGTTACAATGATCTATCTATGTTGCTTTTCCTGCTTTTAGTTTAGTTCTCCACTGTTGACTGCCCTCTGTACCTAGACGAATTATCTAGATTGTAAAGCTGACCTTGTAATTTTCTGTTCTCACTCCTTCACATCTCTCCCTTGTTTCCTCAGCATTGAAATTGCTTCACACACCATCCAGTATGCATTCAATATATGTTTGATTGAAAATAGTGATACAGAAGGTTCCATTTGAATTATATGTAAGGGACACTGCTTTCTTTTCCTTCCTTCCTTCCTTCCTTCCTTCCTTCCTTCCTTCCCTCTCCTCTTTCTCTTCTTGTTCTACCTCTTTTATTTATCCTTTTCAAAAGACAGGATCTTAGGTATCCTAGCCTAGCCTTGAACTTACTATAGTCCTTTGACTTTCATCTTCTAAGTGCTGGGATTATAGTCATGCCTGGCTATAGAAGGCTTTAGGAAAATTTTGTTTGGATTTTGGAGAAAGTGTTGGATTCAGTCACATTTTCAGGCAGGTTATAAGTGATGGAGCCTTTCCAGACATGGAGAAGTGATTGCTTGGACCATGCAGCAGCTCTGGGGCTTTGGACTCCAACACAAAAGCCTGTGACTTCTAGTCATGGGCTCTTTGTTTCAACATAGTGACTGTCTTGTTTTTGTAAATTGATAGGAAAACCATATGTTAGCAACAGCCACAGAACCACCACAAACAAAACAAAACAAACAAAAATAAAAAAATAAAAAATAAAAAGTTGAAAATTTAAAGTTTCTTAGGTACTTTTTCAGCTTGTATGGTCTCAGGTTTAATGTCGGTGTCTAGTGTGGCTCCTCTGGATTGCATCTGTTAAACTAGCAGTATCTGATTGTGAAAGAACACTAATTTGTTTGGTATTTAATGTCAAGACATACTTGTGAACAGCTTTGCCTTTGGTGTTCTGAAAGAAGGTAGAGAAAGAAGGGAGCAAGCAGTCACTCTACCATTGAAGATTTACTCCATAGGAAAGCATGGGAGTTCCCCATTCCTTCTGCCTCCTGAGTCATTGGTCCTTGGTCTGCAGTAGATACAGTGCAGGGGGCTGTCTCACTGAGAGGTGTAGAAAGAAGGCTGTACTTAACGAGATCATGAATGCATTTCTTTTGTTTAGACTAAATTGTTTGTGGGTTCCTGCTCTCTATCTGTTACTGAAGCCATGGGTTTGATATGAGTGGACCCAAAATGTCAGTGGATAATATATAGAGAAACAAGTTCATGCATTGATTCAAATCTCTGGAATGTAGATTCTTTTCGTTTTGTTTTGGCATAAACTAGTCCACATAGTTCAAGGTTTTCTGTCTTGATATAGTTGTTTCATTTGACCAGTACCTTAACTAATTTCTTACATTGAAGATTTGCCCTGAATTCCTTAATCTCATTCAGATTTATTGACACTTATTTTTTCATGAACTAATTTCTACTTTGCATTAAGAAGGAATATGTTGATTAACAAATTGATTTTCAAGAAGTCATGAGTTCAAGTCTTGCATATTGGCATGGTACGGAAAAACAAAGTCTCATGAAGTAACTTTCTGGAACATCCTGGTTTTAACCAAATTACCCAAATTTCAAATTTCTTCCCTGATTACTCCTCACTATATATAGTGAGGTTGAATTTCTCACTTGAACCTGGAACTTGCTGACATGGCTAATCTCAATATCCATATTGCTCCAGTGATCTCCTGTCTCTGCCTCTCAACGATATTCGACATGCATTGTGTCTGTTGATATGGCCACAGAGCCCTCCCTTATTTTGGAAAACATTTACCCTGCTTTTGGGCCAGTGGTTTATAGTGAAGGATGAATGTCTGGAACTTAGGAGATCATACTTTGAACTTTTCCTAATTGCTCATTGTTGTTAGACTTGGAGCAAACTTTTTGTCTTATATCTTCAATTTTCTGAGAGTGGCTAAGGTCTCTTATAGCTGCATCGTGTGGTAAGAGGTTGTTATGTTGTTGACTCTGGGTGGGATATTCTCTCTCTTTGGGTCCATTCTAAGTACACTATCATTTTAGTTCATTTTTGTTAGGTTAAGGGTTTATACTTTTTTTTTTTTTAATTCTGAAGAGTAAATCTTTAACCCCCTCCCCCCATAGGCTGCATCTGCTAGTTCAGAATACTAACTGAGAAAATATCAGTTTTAAGATAACTTATCCTCCTGGTTATATTTTATTGGTTTCATATCCAAATAACTGTTTTTAAAGACTTCCTCCTTACTTAAATTTATTGCAGCTAATTCTAATTTGCTGTCCTATCTTTTATCACCACTAGGCATTTGTACCACATTCTTGGCTATGCAGGTGAAAATGGGGTGGGTAGAATTGTTAATGGCTGTTTAACCAATTCTTAAAAAGACCTGTGATAGTATTAGCAAATTGTCTATTTTTCCTGTGTTGACTTTGAAAAAGAGTTAACACAGGATAACTTCAGGGCAAAGGGGTGTTTGTTAAACTGAATTTGGAGATGCAAAGTCCAGCACCTGGGAGGTGGAGACAGGAGGATTAGGATCCAGGGCATTCCTTTGTGCCTTAGCAAATTTGAAGCCAGCCTGGGCTACACAAGACCCTGTTTCAAGCAACAACATTTATCTATTGCTACATTTGATTTTACTTTTAGGTCTAAATGTTTATATATTAAGAAATCTAATTCTTTTTTCTATAAGGTATTAATTTATTCAAAATTAGTTCATTGAAAGCTTAAGTTTTTTTTTCTTTCTTTTTCTCTGCTTTGTTTCATTATTTCCTGTATTTTTCTTTATATCCTAGGCTCAACAGCAAAGAAACCTGGATAACATTGTCTTGCAACAGCCTAGAGTAGGTAGCAAGAGAAAATCTAAGAAAGATGTTTATACAATCTTTGATGCAGAGATGGAGAGCACAAGCCCAAAGTCTGAACAGGACTCAGGAATTCTGGATGTCGAAGATGAGGAAGATGATGAAGAGGTAAGAAATATTCAAGTTGGGGAAATGAGGTAGTTTTTAAGTTCAGTATTTGATGTCTGAAACATGCTTATTCACATAATAGCTGTGTGATTGCTTAGAACGTTAGCTGTGGTGTTAAAAGTTAATTGAGCCCTGTCTTAAATTGAAACTGCACAAAGGTAATTCACATCTTAAATGTAATATTTTTTTTAAAAAATTATTTTTGATTCTTTACTGATAGGATCCATCCAGAAAGGAAAGAGGGGTGTTGGCCTGACTTAGAGCCAGATAGTAGTAAATGGATTCCACTGAGTCTGAGGCAGTGGAACTTAATTACTTAGTTTTTCTTTTCTTTTTACTTATATTTATTGTATAACTTGATAGCCGTCTTTATGGCATTTCCATAGAATTGTATTCTATATTTTTCTATACTTTATTCATATTCAGCCCTTTATTACCCTATTTTGTTTCCTAATACCCTTTATTGGTGCCTCCTTCTTCTAAATTTGTTCTCCCGCTATTTTTCATCATACATACATACATACTTACATACAGCATGTTTTCTCTTACATGTAGATAGAATCCAGACTTTGAAACACACACACACACACACACACACACACACACACACACACACACACACACACACACTTCTCTAAATACAAACATTAACCTAACCCATTCTGGGCAGCATTTTACTTAAAAATGTTAGCAGTTGTTTTATCATCCAAAATGGCCCCAGGCATGCATGTGGGTCACTCAGCCCTGTGCTTAGTGCCTGTTTGTCTCCTTTCCACTGTTTCTCTAGGTAAAACTAGGGACACTCCATTTACCACTGCTGTCCTCTTTTACACCTTACTGTCTTCTTTGCTTCCTTTTGATCTATGAACTGCTCAAGAATGTGTCACTCTCTAGCTTTGTAATCTTGGGGAAGTTGCTTAATTGGTATTTTAATCTGTCAAATAATGGTAGTAGTTCTTAATCTGTAGAGTTATATAAGCATGTGATACATAAAAAAATAGTCAACAAATGCTTAGTTGTCTTATATTCATTACTTTTCCTTGCTGGCTTCAATTGTAGTTTACTATTATTATTATTCCTTATATACTTAAAAAAATCAAGTTGGTCTATTTAAGCTGTTTTGAATGAAAATTGAATAGCCAAGTCATCTGTAAAATATTAGTGTTAAAGTTTGAATGTCTCAGGCAGTATCTCCGAACTGCCCTATTAAGGAAGATGAATTAGGCTGAAGTGCTCCTGTGGTTAAAAGTGCTTGCTGTTGTTTCAGAAAGCCCGGAGTTTGGTTCCCAGCACATACTTGCAGTGGTGGGGGTTTGAGGTTGGGTGGGGTGGGTAGCATGTTACAACTGACTCTAACTTCAGTTTACATGAGGAAACCCCTTTTAATGTTTTGGACATTGATTAATGTAGTCATAATCTGTACCGTAAGAGAATATACACACAGAAGAGGTGAATGTAGGGTAAAAGCAGAGAATGAAATATACATCTAGTTCTGATGTATCAACTGTGATTCTTCTGTGTAGGAGCCAGTCTTTATTACTAACTCACTGGCATTCCCAAGGTCATCCCTTTGAATCCGCTTGCCATGTTCCTTTGCTTTAGCTAGTGAGGTTCAGAGAGAATGAAGAAGGTATGGGGGAGGGAATGAAATATATTGGCAGGAGCCTCATAATGAAAGTATTAGAAGAATGTACTAGGAAGGTAGTATTCTAAAATGACCCCATTTCCCAGTCAGACACTAGTCCACATTAGAGATCTGCTGATTGAGCTCTTAGAACAAGAATTCAGCACTTCACTGTCTAATGGCATCCTATCTTAAAAAAAAAAAAAAAAACAAAAACTCCCTACCTTATATTTATTTACTTCTCAGTTTGAATCTTCTTCAAGTGCACATTCTTAATCTTAAACCTCATGTAGAGAATTATTTGTTTAGATGTCTCCAAACTGGCTTCTTGGCATAGTTCTTGCATGTTGTGAATAAATTCTTCAGATAAGGTCTTTCGTGACCTACTGTGACGTTCTGACCTTCATTCTTGTCGTTCTTCAGCAGACCTCATTGAGAGCAACATAGTTTTTGAAGTAACTTTGAATCCAAGAGCAGGGTAACTGTGGCAAAAACTCTTACAGGACAAGGTTCTCAATCTACTTGTGATCATATATTGCTTTGAGAGTGTGACTCATACACAGAGTCTCTTCCTATGAAGATATGTGTATTCATGTGAGAAAGTAAGTTCAAGGATTTAGGAAGTTCATTTGACCCCAGGCATCAAGGGAAGAATCCCCATTGTAGAATAGCCCTTCTTGAACATATGTGTGCTTAGGATTCTTGTGGGAGTCACATTAAGATGCACGCAGTGATGTGCTCAGGAGAGCTTCATTCTTACCAGGCTTCTACGTGAAGATGGTGTCTTTGGACTCTGGGCATACTTTGAGTTGCAAGGCTGAAGAGGACCTTGAGGAAGCTTTTTAAAGTACATGAGTAGAAGCTAGTCACAAAATGCCTAAGCTTTGTTTTGACTTTTCTATTAAAAATGTTTAACCTTTTGTGTAAGTGAAATATTTAGCCATGTGTATGCTTATATCTGTAATCTCAGTGTTTGGGAGATGAAGACAAGGTAGATTAGGAGTTCAAGGCCAGCCTTAGAGTTTGAATTTGAGGTCATCATGGGCTAAAGGTGCCTTTATCCAACAAAACAAACACCCCCTCTCCAAACAAAACCCTAACTAGCCAATTATAGCAAACAAATAGACAATCTGTAAATAAATGCACCAAGTGGGAAAAGGGAAAAACATTAAAATTCAGTGGCCTCAAAGAATTATATTTCACCTTTAAAACTCTATTACTTAGAGTACACTATCAAGATTTTAAACAAAATTGCATAGTTCTAGTTTAGTAAGTTTGTGTATCGTTTTTTTTTCCTTCTGTGGTTGGTGTATGTATACGTGTGTGAGCGTGCATGTGTGTGTGTGTATACAAATGAAGCCAGATGTTGCCAGTGGGTGCCTTCCTCAGTTTCTTCCATCTTACTTTTGGAGACAGTCTCTGGTGAATCTGGAGATCGTGTACTCTGCTTTAGGTAGGCTGGCTGGCTGCAAGCCCCAGGGATCCTTTTGTCTCTGCCTCCCCATCACTGAGATTATAGGCTTGCATCTCTTTAGCACTTTACTGACTGAGGCATCTCCCTACCCTCTTTTCTCTGCTTTTAATGGGCATATGTTTAATATATTTTTTGAGTAATGACATTTTAAGGTGTTTAGTATAGCTTTGCCTAAGAGTGCCTAATTAGAAATCATGGAATTAAGTCAGTAGGAAAACTCAAACACCTACCACATAGCTATTCATACATGAAGCAGATAGTTAGTAAACTGTTAAAGTTAATTTTGTTTTAGAGAGGGAAAACTGGATAGCCTGGGGAAGTGAACAGTGTGTCCCCAAGTTTGTCATTGTGGATGAAAATCAACTGTCAAGTTAAAGCAGTTTCTGCAGTCACTCTCACATCCCAGTTTATCAACCTGTGATGGAGTTAGCCTCTTACTACTCAGCAGGGTTGCAAAGAAAAGTGTTGTAGCACGATAAATAAAAGACCCAGGAACAGATACTGGGGTTCAAGCTTCCAGCTGAAGATCAGAAAAGCAAAGCAACCAAATCAGTAGATCTTACCTCTACCCAGCTGAAATGCCAGTCCTGTCACTACAATCCTCAGAGGCAAAAGGCTCTGAGTTCCTGTCTCCTCCTCCTTACATTCCTTTCTCTGCCCAGCCATGTCCTCCTGTCTCCACCTCCCTAGTGCTGGGATTAGAGGTCTGTGATCCCAGATACTGAGACCATCTCTGTGTGAGCTGCTTCTTTTGGGACTGGATCAATTTCTTGTGGTCATTGTGGCCTTGACCTAACAGAGACCTGTCTATCTCTTAATCCTGAGTCCTGGGATTAATGGCTAACTAGTATGGCTGCTTTGTTATTTTTATCTCCAGTGGCTTTAATAAATCACAAAGAATATATTACCATCAAATATTTCCTAGTAGCACTTTTTTTGTTGTATTTGTTTAACTAGTCATATCTAGTATTTAACCATTTTTTAAAAAATGGACAGTTAGTTAATTTTTTTTGGTGGAAGTCTGTAATATAGAGATTGCTTTAAACCTGCAATAGACTATGATATATATGTGGATATTAATTCTTCTCTAAATGCCCAGATAGAACTTTTTTTTTTAAATTTAGAATGTATTTATAATCCTAGACTTACCAGTAATACCATTTTGGGATCACTTGAAGATGAAACAGGAAAGGTTTCATACCATGCAGAGGTACACAATGCGTCTCTTGAGAACAGGGCTGCTGTGAGCACATGACATCATGTAGAATGCTTTTGTTGTTGTACTGACAGTGCCACACACATATAACTGTTATGGCAATATAAGTATATACATTTAAAAAACAAGGTGAGCTGTTCATTGACTTCCTTTTTGGTAACTTGTGTTTGCTTGAACTTAAACAAAACCACAAGTCTTTTCTGAACTAGCGAAGCATTCAGTTTGCAATAGTTTGAAAGAGCAAGGTCTATGATTTACTCTTTGTTCCAGGTTCTCAGAGCTTCTGCATTCTCAGAATGTTTTCTTGGTACCACACAAGGGACACACTTCATACTCTAGTTTGTAGCTCTTGTAATTTTGTGTAAACTATTAAGGATCAGGGTTACCATGACATCCATACCAATTGGGATAAAATCAGCTAGATCTCCAAAATATACAAAGAACTCAAGAAACTAGTCACCAAAACACCAAGTAACCCTATTACAAAGTGGGGTACAGAACTGAAGAGAGAATTCTCAATAGAGGAATCCAAAAAGGCTGAAAGACACTTAAAGTGATCAACATCCTTAGCCATCAGGGAAATGCAAATCGAAACAACTCTGTGATACCATCTTACTCCTGCCAGAATGGCTAAAATCTGAAACACCTTATGACAGCTTATGCTGGAGAGGATGTGGAGAAAGGGG